CTGTTTGCAGGGGTCTAAGCTCCTCACAGATCCACACGCTCCAGTCAGCAAGCCAAGCGGCAGGAAGAACAATTGGGAGCCTCTATAACCGCTCTCTCATCCCTTCAACATACTGTCTGCCTATGGCTCCCCCTTCTCAATGCCAACAAAGCGCTCTGAACTACAGCATGAACACAGCTGGGGTGGAGATGGGGGAAAACCAACATTCATCAAAAACCAAGAGGACTCTATATATAGGCCACTCAGCTGTTACACTTCACAGTAAAATGGCATGTCAGACACAATTGCTAAAAGTTGGCAGCTACTGCCTTCAGTCTGCAAACAGGGTCTCATGCATGGAGCTTTGTGGTATCCTGATGCTTTCAAATGCATTATGAGTAAAGTAATCCATGAACAAAAAAGCACTGGATTGCTTATTTGATCCAGAACATCTAACAACTGCCCGACGGTCTAGTAGTCATTTGAAGTGTGAGGCCATGTTCAAAATGCAATACCATCTTAGCATCTATTGAATACTGTTAAGCATGCACTATCTATTATGTACAGGGTTTCTGCAGGTTTTATGAAGGTACATTTAAGCCTTAAGACCAAGTACAGAACATTTAAAGAATAAATTGCATGAACACAGTATATCAACATATTTTCTAAATGTAAATGCCTTCATTAACAATGCTTCAAAGTTTGAAAACACAAACCTCCAACAGATCTCCATTAATTTTTTTTATCATTTTACAAAAAACAAACCTCTGGCTCAGCTCTCAACCACTAGAATATGGAAATAACTTGTAAATAACTGTACCTTCTAATCACACTGCAAAAAAGTGATGTTTTTCCATCAGTATTTTTGTCTTGTTTAGCAGTGCAAATGTCTAAAGATTCTTAAATCAAGACGCATTTACAAAATGAAATAAGACTAACTCTATCAAAGCTAAATCTATCAAAATGAAGTGAGTTTGATAAAAATAACAAATATCAGCCAGTGGGCTCAGAAATATCAAACTTGATTCAAAGGGAAAAACTAATTTTTATACCCAATTAACAAATGTTTTTTTTCTTGTTTTAAGCATAAACTCAATTTAAGCATAATGACTCATGAATTTAAGACTCTCTACTCATGTAAGACCATTTAAAGCCTGGTTCAGACTACACCATTTTTTTGTCGGTTACAAAAGTCACTGTCAGATTATGCAATTTTGACTCCTAAAATCTTGTCGTGTCATGAACAAGAAACATGTCAGACTACACTTTGCTACCCGACCATTCATCGTTTGCCATCTTTAACGACGTGCGCTCCCGTCATTGATACAGCGGGACTAGGCAGAAGGTGCCATGAGTGTAAACAATGGCTAGCAAACAGCGTGTTTTGCTCCGTCTTGTTGTCAGAAAAGCCTAAAAAAAGAAAATGACAAACATAATAGGTTTTCCATGATTTTTTTGCATTTAGAAAATCTGAATATTGTGCAAAGGAACAGTACTATGCAACTCTAAACATGACAATTATAAAAAAAAATGAAGAGGGCTTTAAATGACCGTGCCACATTTATTTTTTAATCCGCTCCATCAGGAATGTCAACAAGAAGATCCTGTAATTTGGCCATGAAAAAGGAAAACTCCAAACTGTATCCATGCAGTGTCTCTCTGCTGGAGGGCAACAGGCTAAAAGTGAGCTAAATGGCATGATAGGCTTAAACTGAGGGGCAGCTGAAGTAGGTGACGACTCAGTACTGGCATTGAGTCTCATGACACAGGCAGATCACCTGGATTACACAGCGGATGCTAGACATGACAAAGATATGCAGGATCCACGTTAACTGCATACTGAATCACACCACAGCCACGATCAATAAATCCAGATCTGTTAAGAGGCTGCAGCTACCCAAACACAAGAGCTGCTTGTACAGCTGTTGATCTTTCATACATTTACTCTTTTTAGATTACCAAATAATACTTAAAATTATAAAGCAACAATGCAAGACTGCAACAACGTCGAAATGAATTGTGATTTTTCACCCATTTTATTCCTTCAATGTGGCGCATTTGGGCTTAATTTTCTATCAGAAACAGGTAGATTTGTTTTTTTAATTAAAGATTCCAATTTTTCTATGAATAGTTCACAATAAGACCATAAATGTGGGTCCATTAGAGTCAATTTTGATTCCACATTGACTTTTGAATCCTTGTTTTGTAGTAACA